GGGGCCCACCGTGGGGAACAAGGGACATCTGGTGCCTGGGCCAAAGCCACATCAGCAAAGCCAGCTCCCAGACCCCCAGCACCCTGGACCCAGGGACAAAAGTGACCTTGAAAACAGAGCTGAGTGGAAACAGAGTCATGCCCCGGGGCAGCCCCTTCTGTCTCCCACCAAGCCACGGCCAATGGAGCTTACAGGCTCCTTCCCTGACACCAAATGATACCCTCAAGTCCATTTTTGGACCCTGCCCTGAACCAAGAACACTCATCTGGCCAAAACACACTTGCTGGGCGACCCCAGGCCTGTTGCTCATACCCGGCCCTGCCCTTCCAGGGTCGGCAACCCCTCAGGAGTTCTTAAAGCTGCTCTCAGGACTCCAGGCTGAGGGGGAAGCAGGGAAAGACCGGGCCTTGGCCTGCAGCTCCTGGGCCCTGAAGGCACTGGGTGTCCTGGTTGCAGAGGCGTATCTAAGGTATGGCAGCTATGGCACATGCCCTGGGTGCCACTTGGTGGGTGGGAATGTGCCAGTGAGTACTTCCTATTAACCTAGTATGGCCCAGGGTCCTTTCTCAAGCACAGCAGACACAGAGACATAGGGAGGGAGGGAAGAGGGAGACACTTGCCCCTGGGCGCAAGTTCAAGGGGGTGCCAGATGAGGCGTGGAATGACATTCTGAGGCGCCACGAATATGAAAGACTGAAGCAGCCGGAGGGCGGGGTTGGGGTGGGGGAAGGTGTTTCTGCTGACATGTCACCACTATCAACGTCTATTCAACTTGAAATGGGAGGCGGTGCAACTTAGAGATTGCCCCTGCGCGTTCGCGTTCGTTTACCCTCGCTAAGGGCCTGCAGGGGTGCAAATTCAGTGCTTGCTATAGGCACTATTTTGCTTTCTTGAATAAAAGGGGCAGGGCCATGGGGTCAGGCCAGCCGATGCAGTGTCGGGGGCAATGGGCTCACCTTACACAGGTGGACTGTGGACTTCCAAAGGAAGGAGGCCCACCCTGATGCTGCTTCCAAGCCTGGAATTTCTCAGATTCTAGGAATGGGTGTGGGGCCCGGTGCTCCTGGTGAGACAGTGATGGGGTTTGCCCTGGCACAGGCCAGGGCGGTACCCTGCCCCCAGGATTTGGCAGAGGCCCTGAGATGTCACTGCAGGAAGCCCCGCCGAGCTTGGCATCTTCACAAAGTCCCCCCCACCCCCGCCCCTGGAATCCGGTTGGGGCCCCCAACTCCTGGACGCCTGGGTCGGGGGCAGGCACGCCAGGAATGGGCCAGCTGTCAGCCTGGCCCAGCGGAGACCTCCAAATGCCTCCTTGTGGCCCACCCCCTCCAGCTGCTGCAGCTTCAGAGCAAGAAATGGGGTGGGGGAGGGCAGTGTCCCCTCCCACTTAGATGGCAGCAGACCACCTCCTTGGCAGGCATCCTGCCTGGCCCCTACCACAGGGAGAAACTGTAGACCTTGGGGCGCAGCAGGGGCTGTCCTGACTCCTGGAGGGAGCACTGGAGCAGGAGTCTTCTGCCCTCCACTGCCACAGTGACAGTTGGACTGCCCACTGTTTCGTCTGCCTGGCACTGGGTGTCCACTAGGTCCTGGTCAAGGCACACATGCTGCAAAGTCCCAGGAGTGCCCCAAGGCCTGGGTCTCTCTTCCCTGTTCACCAGCTGGGACACGGCTCCACTTTTCCTGGTGCGGCAGGGGTCTGTGGGATTCATCCCTGCTCCCCACCCCCCATCCCTTGGCTAGGGTGGGGTTCCAGGTGTAGGCTGGGAGAGGAGAGGAGACAGGGGCTGGGGCCCACTGAGGTCCCCCTGGGCTCATGAGCTGAGATTTGGAGGAGGAAAGAGACCATGGAAGGTGAGTGACTTGTCCGAGGCCACAAGATGGATAACGGAGCTGCTCCGAGCCCACCTCCCACCCAGTGCCCTGCTGGCCTTGGGCCGCTTGCCTTTGGGGCACCCGGAGATAGAAGAAGGGGGATCCAGGAGGCAGCCCAGGGGCTGGATAGCTGGACAAAGAAGGACAAAAGTCTGAAAGCCGAGCTGGGTGGGGGAGGGGGCCAGGATCCTTACTGACGTATTTCAGCAGGGCAGGAGAGCCCCCCTCACACCAGAGGTAATTTGAGTCACACTGGAGCGAAGGGAACTCAGGGGCCAGGCCCCTACCAGGGTCCCCATCCCCACTTGACTGCCAGGAGCCTACCTCCAGCGGTCTGGGGGGAGGAGGGGGGGAGGCGGTCTGTAATAGCCCTGAGAGGGAGGGAAGGGGCAAAGAGGGGGTGGCCCTTGGATCCCTGGGAGGCGAAAAGAAAGCTAAGAGGGCTCCAGCTCCCCAGCAGAATCCACCTGGGCCTGCTGAAAGGCAGACACTCTCAGACGCACAGCTGCGGGGCCTCCAGGAGTGTTTTAACAGTGGCGGCCACTGGGCCATGGGGATGGGTGGGAGCAATGCTGGAGGCCTGGGGCCTTCCAGACATGAGTCCCAGGGTGTGATGTATCCGGCCTGTGGGTGCAGGCGTCTGTAGTGTGGGGCCAGGCGGCCTGTGGGGCCGCCTGTGGAAGGGCAGCTGGCTGGGCACCTGGTTAGCAGCCAGGGCTGAAACCCGAGAAGGGCCATGGGAGCTGGGCTGTCTTCAGGAATTAGAGGGGGTTGAGGAAGCCCCCATAGGTGGGCGCTGGGCAAGGGACCAGCTCCCCTCACCAATGCCCAGCACTGGCTACCTGCCTTGCTCATGACCATATGGTAATCAATGACCCATGAAGCCTCGCAGAGCCCTTTCTGCTCATGAAATCTACAAATCCCGAGGGCAATCCTGCCCTTATCCTGGGGTTGCAGGTCAGAAGGCTGAGGGCCAGAGAGAAGGCGCCAGAGGTCTTCGGGCCAGGAGGAAGCCGAGTTGAGCTCTGAACCCACACAGCTTGGTCCCTGGCTCAGCCACATCCCCTGAGGGCAAGCAGCCACCAAGACCCCACGCTTCACCCTGCGCCCTCAGCTCAGCATCTGCCCAGCAGCTGGCCTGGGTGTAAGGAGGCGACATGGCCTTGTCCAGGGAGTGCCCTTGGTGGGGAGGAGGGACCTGAGGTCTGGGCCCCCTCCCACCACACCTCGTCTCACGTGAGGTGCCAGAGTGCCTGGGTTGAGAGGAAAGTTGTGGGCAGAGTCCCAGGAGTTCTGGGGGCTGTGGCTCCAGGCGGGCACAAAAGTGTGGCCAACCATCTGGGGCTGTGGGCAGGGGCTGGGGGCCGCTGAGTGTGCTGGGACCTGGGCTCCGTGTGCACAGGGAATTCCCGACACAGCAGCCATCTCTGGAACTCGAGTTCCTGGAGGGCAGAGCCTACAGCTGCCTGAGCACACCCCCCCGCCCCCCGCCCAAGGGCACATGGGGGGGGGTCTCTTGGACACAACCCAAGACCAAGGAGGGTTATGTGCCAACCTGGACCACAGGAGAGAATCCTGTTGGGAAATCTGGACCCAGTTCCTCCAGCCAGAGTAGGGGGGTCCTGTCTGCTCCCTCCTCCCCGAGCCCAGCAGGGTTGTCTGGCCCTGCATTTCCAAAGGGAAGGGAAAGCCCACCCCGAGGTCTCCTGCCTGCTTGTGGACCCCCATGCTCCAGCGTGACTCCCCAGTTCTGGGGTGGCTTCACCAAACTTGCCTGCATCCTAGCCCTTCTTCCCTCTAGGACCCACCTAGGTGCCAGGCAGCCCCATGAAGCCCCTCAGAGCGCCCCGGTCGGCGCTGCCCCACCCCAGCAGCCCCCTGGGAGACTCCAGGGCCCACTTTAGGGCTGACCTGTCCCGGCAGAACAGGGGAGGCAGGTTCTCCAGCGAGGCGCTGAAGGCTTACCTGGGCGAGCAGCCCAAAGGCGAGGAGCAGTGCGGCGTCCATAAGGCGAGTGTCCGGGCGCCTCCTGCTCGCGACCCAAGAAGAGCTTTGGCCAGGGATGAGTGACAGCGCAAGTGCGCGCCGGGCTGGGGGCCTCTGACAGCACGTGGGCGGGCGGGGCGGGGCCGGTAAGGGGTGAAGGATGAGTGACAGCACGTGTGCAGACGGGCGGGGCGGAGCCGGAGGAGGGGTGGCCAGGACGTGGGTGGGGCCGAGTGACAAGGGGGCTGACTGGGCGAGTGGCACAAATATGCGGGCGGGGCGGGGCGGAATGACAACACGTAGGCAGGCGGGCGAGGTGGCCGGGCTGGGGGCGGGGCCGGGTGACAGCACGTGTGCGGGAGGGGCGGGGCCAAGTGACAACATGTGTGCTGGCGGGGCGGGGCGGCAGCTGCCTTGGGACTTGGGGCTTCCAGGGGTCAGGAGAGGAGGGGGCAGGCTTACCGCTTCCAGGCAGAGGCGCACTCCAGGCTTGGTGGAGTGGGCTGGAGCGGGCTCAGGACGGGGTCTGAAGCCAGGAGGGGCTCAGGCAGGGTCAGACCCAGGGTCAAGCGCTTGCTGGTACGCAGCCCGAGCTGGTCCGCCTCCACTCCGGAGGCCCTGCCTGTTAGGCCCTCTCCAGCTGCGTCTCTCCGCAGCCCAGAGCATGTTATCTCCTCTTGGCTGCGGCTTCTCTGCACGCCAGGACTGCGCGGAGGGTGCTGCCCCTCCGGTCGGTGCGGGTCCCCAGCCTCCCCAGCTCTAGCCCCTGGAGGGCAAGGCTTAAAGTAATGTCATCCCTGTAGTGTGGTGCGCTGGGGGACAAGGGTGATCACATCTCTGCATCTTCTCAGTGCCCCGATTGAGGACAGAAGAAATCACAGTCCCCGTCTTACACTTGTTAGGTGCCATCGAGTTGGTTCCCACTCATAGCAACCCTATGTACGACAGAACGAAACACTGCCCCGTCCTGCGCCATCCTCACAACCTTGTTATGCTTGAGCCCATTGCTGCAGCCACTGTATCAATCCATCTTGTCGAGGGTCTTCCTCTTTTTCGCTGGCCCTCTACTTTACCACGCATGATGTCCTTCTTCAGGGACTGATCCCCCCTGATAACATGTCCAAGGTATGTGAGATGTAGTCTCGCCATCCTTGCTTCTAAGGAGCATTCTGGTTGTACTCCATCTTACATAAGAGGGGCTAAAGCTCCCGATCTGGGGCGACTGGTATAGAAAGTGGCCGACTGGGGTTCGATGACAGTCTAAGACTCTTTCCACTTTCCCCTCCACCTAACAGTCCCCCGCCTGACCCTGCCAGGCCCTCCCAAGCCCAGAGGCGCTTCCAAGGAATCCCACACCTCCCACTACAGGCTTAAGACTGGAAAGGCCCAGGAGAGGGTGGGGCCCGGCTACGGAGAGAGGGCCAGAGCAAAGCCTGCATCCAGGCACCTGCGCAGGTGTGTGCATGTGAGTGTGTGTAAGACTGCATTCATGTGTTTAAGATTGCATGTGGGTAAGACTGCATGTGCATGTGTAAGACTGCATGCTTGCATTGCTTAAGACTGTGTTTATGTTTAAGACTGCATGCATATGTATTCATTTGTAAGGCTGCATGTGTGAGTGCACATGCATCCATCCTGGGATGAGCTCAGGGAAGCCAGAGCAGACCCTCCAATCTGGGGCCAGAGTAGTGTGGCTGACTGAGCAGATGGTGGCCCAGCAGGTAACAGAGTAGCCTGAGCCTGGCACTGGCCAGTCTGTTCCTGCAATGCTCACCTGGCTATTCTAGTTTATTTGCAAACATGGTGTCTTAGTTATCTAGTGCTGCTATACAGAAATACCACAAGTGGATGGCTTTAAGAAAGTCATTCACAGTTTAGGAGGCTAGAAGTCCGAATTTAGGGTGCCAGTTCCAGCGGAAGGCTTTCTCTCTGTCGGCTCTCGGAGAAGGTCGTTGTTATTAATCATCCCTTGATCTAGGAGTTTCTCAGTGCAGAGATGCCAGGTCCAAAGGACATGCTCCGCTCCTGGCTCTTCTTTCTTAGTGGAACGAGGTCCCTCTCCTCTCTGCTTGCTTCTCTTTTTTATATCTCAAGAGACTGACTCAAAATACAAGCTAATCCTATAGATCATGTCCTGCCTCATTAATATAACTGCCTCTAATCTAGCCTCATTAACATCATAGAGGTTAGGATTTACAACACATAGGATAATCACATCAGATCACAAAATGGTGGACAACCACATAATACTACGAATCATGGCCTAGCCAGGTAGACACACATTTTGGGGGGACACAATTAAATCCATAACACATGGATATGCCCTAACCAGGAGCAGCAGTGGGGCTCTGCCAGATGGTGCTTCAGGAACAAACAGCCCCCAGCCTCCCAGTAGCACAGTCCCTTTCTGCTTGCCTCACAGGCAGACTGGCCCTGGCTCAGCTTCCATCTCCTCATCCTGCCACCAGCTGACAGCACAACCCTGACCTGGGGCAAGCCCTTCTGGGGCAGCGTGGATGAAACCTGTTGCAGTGGCTCTTATGGTCTTTGCACAGTCGAGGCACACATGGCCCGCAGTTGACCATGGCCTGGGGAGTTCTTGTCCCCAGAGCCTCACACAAACCACGTGGCGACACATGGGGGTCACACTTCGTCCAGTGAGAGGCGCAAGCAGTTGGGAACGATACAACCATTTAGCACTCGAACCAAAAGAAAGCTGGGGAGTGGCACAGAGACTGTGAGCTGGGGAGATACAAGGCCTCACTGCGGGGGTGCCGCAGGCCCTGAATTCATTGGGCCCTGCCTCTTGATTCCACCAATGCTCCCCAATGCCTCAGGGCAAAGCTCAGGGTCTTGAGCCCCACATCCACGATGTCCCACCCTGTTTTCCAGGCCTTACATGCCTGACTGGACCACCTGACTCACACCCTGCACCTGGCACTTTCTACCTGTGAAGCCAGCAACACCTTTCTTCTCACTGTTGCCTACAGAACTTCTACTCATCCCTCAACCCTCAGGTTCCACGCTGCCCCTTCTTATGGAACCCACTCCCTACCCCAGCCAAAACAGTCCTTCCCTCCTCTGAACTCCTGAACCCCTCCTGTTTCGTACGCAGTTACTGGGTTACCTATCTGTTCTGGGGAGCACACACCTGCTCCCTCAACGCCCAGGACAGGCCCAGCTCATAGTACTGGTGGTGGGATGGCCAGGCTGGAGGAAGGGCGGAGGGGTGAGGTGGGAGGAAGGCCCTGTGGACCAGTGTTGCTTTCTTTTGAGCAGGTGGGGGGTTCTGACCAGTCCTGCCCCCTCCCCTTCCTGAGGCATGCACAGGCAGGGCCTCGCCTCTCTCCAGATGGCTGTGTGGTGGTGCAGGTGCTGGTAGTATCTGTCCCTGTGGTGCGCTTGGAAGGAGGCTAGGCTGCCGGGGGCGGGGGGGCCTCCACTCACTTCCCCCAGGTGCAGAGGGAGGGGGAGATACTTCCTCTCCAAACTGAGGCCTCTGCTGCTGGGGCATAGTCCCTGAGGTCACCGTCTCTCTCTGAGGCAGGGACCCCAAAGCTGGGGTGGAGTAGCCCTCTGACCCTTTCACGGTGCTGGCTTCACGGCTAAGGTGTAGGAAGCAGGGTCCGAAGCTCCCCTCCCCACCCAGAGGGGCTGCAGTTTCTGCAGGATCAACTCCAGGTGCCCTGAACCGGGGCTGGGGGCTGACCACTGAGAGACCCCTCTTCTCCCTCTGCCTTTCCATCCCTATTGGGGAGGAAAACTGAGGCCAAACCCCTTCTCCTGCAGGGCCTGGGGGACTCTGTGTGTGTGGGTAAACTGGGTCAGCTTATGGTGACCCTCCAAGTGCAGAGAGGGGCCAATGGAGAGGGGTCCCAGGCTGGTACCCCAGCCCGCAGGGGCTGATGCCCCAGTGAGAGATCCTGCTTTTACCCAGGGCAGCCCTGGAGGCTGGGAGGCGGAGCCCTGGCCAAGTCGGTCTCTTCTCTGGCCTCAGTCTCCTCATCTGTAAAAAAGGGGGATGGGTAGATGTGCCCGTAGTGCTGCCAGCTTCGCCCATTCCAGGCCAAAAAGGGGTGGTTTGGAGTTCAACTTAACAAGGAGACCCTCACCTCTGGAAGGGCCTGCCCTTTCCTGGGGACTCTGCAACCCCTGACCCTCCGGAGCTCCTCACCTTCCCCACTCCATGACTCCAGCTCTGACCCCCCCACTCCCCCGCAATTCCTCCCTTTTCCCTACTCTGCAGCTTTGAACATTCCAGGCAGCGCTTCGCCACCGCTCAGAACCCTCCATGATCCTCCACAAAGGGCCGGCCACACTCTTCTCCCTCCTCTCCTGGAGCTGAGCAGGCTTGCCTGGGGTCAGGCGTGCGTGGCGTGTGTCCTGCGTGGCAGGGAGTGGCATGGTGCGGTAGACACCTGTACGTGCGCAGGGCGTGGGTGGAAAGGATTGCTAGGGCGGGCCCATGAAGGGAGGCCGCATTGGGGGTGGGGTTCCCACTCCGTCTCGGCCCAGGGTACCCCGGTCCCCAGCCGCATCCCGTCCTGGGCTCAGCGAAGCCGAGCCTCCTGGGCATCTGTGCCTAGGAGCTCAGGCCAGAGCTGAGACGGGCTCCTCATATCCCGTGTGTCTGCATGCCCACTCTGGCCCTATTGAAGGTCACGGCCCCTCATTTGCCTGGGTGACCCCCTTCTTCCAGGGTCTGGCTGCTGCCACCTTGGTACCAGGCCATGCTGGTCACGGGTGGCAACAGGGGTGGATGGATGATCCCGCCCTGCCACTTGGGCCTTAGAAGTCAGTGCAGAGACTGTCGCACATTTGGGGAGCAATGGGGTGCCTTCTCACTCCTCCAGGAGCAGGCAGAGCAAGCTGGGGTGCTCCTGTGAAGGGGAGAGGGGGCTGGGGAGAAGGGCAGCCATTCTGGGCAGGGAACAGAAACCTGGGAGGCCCAGAGGGCAGCAGAGCCCATCCACCTGGCCTGACCTGGGCATTGCCTGAGTTCTGTTTAATATGATCATTGGATGGTGCAAATGGTGAAGCAATCTACTACTAGCCGTGCTTGACTACTAGCCGAAAGGTTGGTGGTTCAAACCCACCCAGAGAATCCTTGGAAGACAGCAATCTGTTTCTGAAAGGTCATTGCCTAGAAAACCCTATGGAGCAGTTCCACTCTGCACTTATCGGTCACCATGAGTAAGAATGGACTCAATGACAACTAACAACTTGATAAAACCAGGGGCCACAGACAGCTCTTTGCAAAGAGTGACACTACCATGCTTTATAGTAATGCTGTCATTATACAGTGAAATAAGGATTATTGTGTATAAAACCGTGTACTTCTATATAGACCTATACACAAACATGTTCACACCCCCTCCAACTAAGGGCCAGCACTGGGTCCTGGCAGTGACTCTGTCCACTGCACAGATTCAGGTGTGGCAGATTAGCAAGGTGTGGGAGGTACGATGGTCCCCAAAGTGTCCACGGCCAGCCCAGGACCTGTGGACATGGGCAAAGGGTCTCTGCAGATGTGATAAAGGTTACGATGGGATGTGAAATAGGAGACCATTCTGGACAGTCTATTCACATGAGCCCATTAAAGTACACAAACTGGGAGCATGAGAAGGCTGAGATGGAGGGGCCCCATGCAGGGACTGGGAGAGGCCTCCATGAGCTGAGGGCAGCCCTGGCCACCAGGGAGGTGGGGACCTCAGTCCTACACAAGGAACGAGACTCCTCTATGACAGGAATGACCTGGA